TATACAGTACATATTTCCACCTAAAAGTGAGGTCCACTTTCAGCAACAAGGGGTATGTTGCTGTAATTTTTCGATCACCATATAGTGCATATTCTCACCTAAAGCTATAGAGTACAAATTTCCACCTAAAAGTGAGCTCCACTTTCAGCAACAAGGGGTATGTTTCTGTAATTTTTCGATCACCATATAGTGCATATTCTCACCTAAAAGTGAGTTCTACTTTCAGCAACAAGGGGTATGTTGCTGTAATTTTTCGATCACCATATAGTGCATATTCTCACCTAAAAGTGAGTTCCACTTTCAGCAACAAGGAACATGTTGCTAAAAGTGAATTTCAGTGACAAGGAATATGTTCCTAAAAGTGAATTTCAATGACAAGGAATATGTTGCTAAAAGTGAATTTTAGTAATAAGGGACATGTTGCTGTAATTTTCCAGTCACTGGAAGCACTAGCAACATATACCATATTGCTGATATTAGACATTACCAACAAGAACCACGTTACTGTTATTTCAATGTCTTTAGCAACCAAAAGTTAACAAGGAATATGTTGCTAATATTACCTTTCCCTAGTACTGCTCTAAAGGTAAGGATGACGATGGGGGGGATGATGATGGCCAAACCTTGGCTCAGTACTAGTGAGAACTTGGACATACCCACATGGGTTCTCATTGGGAGAACTAGATCTGGTTGAACCCAAGCTGGGTACTGGTGAGAACCCAAGCTATAGGTTCTCAATGGGAGAACCTGGGTTTATTTTGTTTTTTGTTTACTTTATTCCTAAATTCTTTCTAGCCAAACTCATGTTTATTTTAAATTGGAAAGCAAACCCATAAACCCATAATTTTGCAGCTTCAATTGATCTGGGTTCTTATGAAGTCTTTTGGGTTGTTTTATTTTGTTTTGTTTTCATACAAATTGGTTGGGTTCTTTCTTTCTTTTTCTTTTTTTTTGGCCATCCTGATTTCGTTTGTTTGTTTCTTTTTCAATCTTCTTCTTTTTATTTTAATTTTTTTTATTAAATACAAATTGATTCCTTTGTTCGTTTCTTTGTTCAATCTTCTTTCTATTTTTATTTTTATTTTTTTGGCTTATTTAACTTAGTTTATGATTAAGTCATTTCATTATATGAGTTCTAAAATTAATGAAAGAATCTTAAGGATTTTGCACATAAATTGAATTGGAAGTGGAAGGCTGGAGTTGGAGAAGATGAATAGTGGCATTGGAGGAGGAAAAGTAGTTTCCAATTTAATTTCCTTTAATTAATACTCAATTAAAACCTTTAATTACAAGTTACAAATTTTAATTATGTAAATCTATTAATACTTTCTCTCTTAAGAGGAAAGACAAAGTAATTCTTATATAAGAATAATAAATTATAAATATTGATGTAGGGCCTACCATATGAAAAAGATAATAATAGGTAGGAGAGGATGAAAATATGACTAATTAGAGTAAAATATGACAACTCATTAAAATTTAACGTATTTTTTTCCACGTCATTAGTAAAAGAAGAAGAAGAAGAAGAAGATAGATTTCGTAACAATTTAAGAAGTGATACATCCAGAGTCGACTATAAATGATCAAAATTCAACTTCCAAATTCCAGAGAGTTGAGAATATCCTGGTGCAAGGTATAGTTGACTCTCTATGTAAAAAGTCAACTCTTGAGCAGTAAAGAGTCGAATCTATGATGATAGATTCAACTTTTGAGCCTTCGAGAGTCAACTATATAAGCTCAACATTTGACTCCCAAATTCTAGAGAGTTGTGAACATCTTGGTGCATGGCATTGTCAACTCTCTATGTAAAAAGTTGATTCTTGAATAGTAAAGAGTCGACTCTAAAAATCTAAATTTGATTTTTAAGCCTTTAAGAGTCGACTATATAAGGTTAACATTCGACTCTCAAATTCCAAAGAATTGAGAACGTTATGGGTGCTCGGTATAGTTGACTTTCTTTGTTAAGAATTGACTCTTAATTTAAAAAGTCGACTATTGACAAAAAAAATTGACATAATTTTATGTGAACTGTCTATGTAGCCTTATATGTGTCATAACTCAAATTTTTAATGAAATTTTTATTTTTAATAATGTTTTTTATTTTTGTTTTCCTTGTTAGGTTCGTGAACAAAAATGGGATTTTATGAAGAGGATTGAAAAAGAAGATGAGAGAAGGACTCAGTTGAAGAAATGGAAAGTTGGAGGGATGAAGTTCATCAAGACAAATTTACAAACCCAACCCAAATCTCAATAATGAGCCCATTAAAGCCAAACCCAATCCACCACCAACCCAAAAGGCCACCAGCAACCATCTTCTTTCTCCTTCTCCTTCTACAATCGTCGGTTCCTTTCTTTTGATCTCACCATCTCCGACTCCCTTCCACATCAAAGTCCTTGGTTGCAGTCAATCGGGAAGCCATCACCCACACTCACCTTCTCGAACCACTGCCGCAGTCCAGCATCACCTACTCCCGGCGAGTGAACAGCAGAACAGAAGCAAATGAAGCCGGATCTATTGGTTGGTGACGGAGGTGCTATTCACGCGATGACGCCGAGAAGAAGCTTCCTGAGAACTCCTAGTTTGACTGCAGATCTGATCAGTTTTTTGTTCAGATCATTCTTTCAGCCAAAAGGGGATTCGATATGGGCTGTTTTTCTGCATATCAAGGCCCAAAATCACATTTCAAAAGTCCGGGATATTTAGATCCAAATGGGCAGTTCCAACGAGTATTGGCCTGTTGAGTGTTTTAGAATGTAGGGTTTTTCCCATGCTTGGGAGGAAAAGCCTACTTGAGTCCCTCACCTTATCACGTTTAAAAGGTTTTAACGTCTCTTCTTAATTTATAGTTTTTAAGTCCTTACACTCACACTTTATATTAGTTCACTTTTAGTTATTCATTTATTAAAATTTTAAAATTGAAGAAAATATTTTTTATTTTGTAATATTTTATTAATTTTAT